TGTGTATATATATACATATACATATATATATATATATTTTTGTCTGAAAAAGTCTATTTCTCCTTCACTCTTAAACTATAATTTCAGAAAATACAGAATACTAGATTGGTTGGGTTTTTTTTCTTTAAAACGTGAAATTTTTACTCTCTTTTTGCTTACATGGTTTCTGAAAAGTCCAGTGAAATCCTCATTCTTGTTCTACTGTATGAAAGGTATCTTTTTTCCTCTGGCAGAGGTGGTGGTGGATCTTGCTGGTAATTCTTCTTTTTTTTTTTCAAAATTTATTTATTTGTTTATTCCACGAGTGAGAAAGACAGGGCAAGAGAGAAAATGCAGGCTCCTGACATTACAACCCACCACCACCACTAACCAGCCCTGCATCATGGGCACACACACGCCCAGCACAGCCATGGTGGCCTCCAGCTGCCAACACGGAGCCCTCCTGTCGCCCAGCCCCACAGAGCATCACACTTCGCTGCTACACTACCATCCGGCTCCTCCTCTCTCAGCTTTCAATATTTCCTCCTTGTCTTTAGTGTTTTGCAGTTTGGATAGAATATGCCTGTGTGTCAGTTTTTGGTGTTTATTCTGCTTGCTATTCTCTGAGATTCTTGGATCTGTGGCTTGATATCTGTCATTTGGTAAAATTTTCACTTCAAATGTTTTTTTTTCTTTATTCTTCTCTCCTATTCTTATTATGCCTATGTTACAGTTAGTAATTGTCTTAAACATTCTATTATGATTTTTTTTCCCCTTTGCATTTCAGTTTTCATATTGGCCTGGCCCCCAAAAAAGCAGAAGAAACATGTAGAAGTACAGGCTTACACGTTTTATGTGGGCTTAGAAATTCTTAGGTTAGCAATAGTTTAAAAGAACATGTCTTTGTCTCAGAAAGACTTAGAGTCAGCTGAAAAGAATTAGAGTTTAACTTTAACAGAGATAAGAAGGCTTCCCTATATGTTCACGTGATGCTCTGCCGGAGTCGGATGTAGGGTGTAACTCATAATCACTGGACCAAAGTGTTCTGTTTTAGCAAGATTAACTGCTTATTAACTGGCGACTTTTCCCAGGCATCTAGGAAAATTTAGAAGAAAGCAGAGTGGTCCGTTTCAGTTCTCATGAGGGAAAG